CAGCCGGCACCGGCCCGCTCGGGAGGCGCGAAGCTGCGGCCTTCTGTCAGCCCACCCCGCCTCGCAGCCTCCAAATTAGCGTCACACGGGCAGTGAAGTGCAGTTCCCTGCCGCCCCCGCCTGCCAGCCCGGCTCCAGAGCCGGGGTGCCTCCGGGGTGGGCAAGCCTGCCCCTTCAGAGGGGCCCACCCAGGCCGTGGGGCCCTAATCAGAGCATCTCTTGTCGCAGCCGCTCGCTCGGCACCCCACCTGCCCTCTGCGAAGAGCCTCCCACCCCGGGAGGGGAGGTCTTCCTCCCGGCATCCCGCTCAGGCTGTAGCATCAGAGCTTCGCCCTCCGTGCCCAGCGCAACCCTGCAGGTTTTTAGCTGCCAAATATAGCTGTGCAGCATCGTCTGGAGAGTCCAGGCTTGATGGTCATGCACAAAACTCTGGGCCAGCTGCGAGGACCTGGTGAGAGAAGTGGTTGATTGAGCCTTGAGGCACGCCTGCTTTGGGCTCCTTTTTGCATCATGATGAACTATCGGAGCACGGTACCAGCACTCTGCTGTAGCAGAGGCTGTACAAATGCAGGACAAAAGGATGCCCCCACCCCCAATGAAGTTACAGCCTGCTTTTGGGAAAATGGGCTGTGTTTGGATAAAGGGAGGCCAGCGAAAGAGTGTAAGGAAGAGATGGAACATCCTTAAGCAGTGGAATAGGTGGGCATTTCAGCATACCAGCCACCTAATGATTATCGTGCTTATTGTTAGCACCCTGGCAAAAGAAGGATTTGGAGGGATGGGTAATTTTGTGAATGTGAGCTGGGCATGCCTTCGGAGCGTAAAGGATAGCATTGAAAAGTGTTTTCTGTAACGTAACAAAAGAGTTGGGGAAGCCAGCACGTTCACTGATGGATGCAATTAGTGTTAGTAGCTAAGTTAGGAGGACGGGACTGGTGATGAAGGGTCTTTAAGATGAAGATATGTAGTTTATGCTTGAAATGACAACAGATGGGAGTCCAAGGAAGAGACGCAAAGAATGGGATGATGTGGCTACAACGGCACTTATCTCCTACATTACTTATTGCAGGAACCCTTACGGGCTCCCCCAGTCAAGACCTTGTCATTTTGGGGAGTCTCTGAAGCACAGCATTTGATTGCACCAATCCACAAGTAGTGATGCTGTGAGAAAGAGCATATTTCACCCCAAAGCAGTAGCAGCTTGGATTTTTGGTGGTGAAAGTCCCGAGTTCTGACCATGACAATAAGCTGAGCTGATTATATACATGGAGCTGGGTTTGTTGCAGTATGACAATCCCCTGATTTTGCAGCTATGGCAAGATAAGCTACTTCTGTGCTGCACGTGGGATGCCAGGCCAGGGCAAAGGCTGGCGCCCTCCCTGACCACTGCCTGGGGACACACCTCAGGAGGTCCCGCTAAGAAGGAATCTTGCTGATACTGATTGCATTTGCCACTGCAAACACCCTTGATTCTTGGGTTGGGATTGTCAAGGACAGAAGTTCTCACCCTGCCATGCCCCAAATCCGCTTGCAAATCTCTGCGGTGGGCACCAGATCAGGGCTGAGGGGGCTGCTTGGACCACGGAGGGAATGTGTGTCTTGGTGGCTGGCCACAGCCCTGGGGAGGGCTGGGGAGGACCTCCAAGGCTTGCCCAAACCTGCTGTGCAGAGAGAAGATCAAGACAGCTAGTGCAGGACCCAGCCCAGGGGGAAAGGTGCTCCCAAGCAGCACGTCTCTTCCAAGGAGCACCATGTTGTCTCCTTCCCAATGTCTTGCTACAGCTCTAGGGGATGGACTGAGCACAGGCATGGGCTTCGGTTGACAGGCAGCCGTTCAACAGATCACAGCTGCACTACAGGCTAGCCTTCCATGTGGGATTGACC